TTTTTCGGTACGCGGGCCTCTCACTGTTGTGGCCTCTCCCGTTGAGGAGCACAGGCTCCGGACGCGCAGGCCTAGCGGCCATGGCTCACGGGCCCAGCCACTCCGCGGCACGCGGGATCCTCCCAGGCCGGGACACAAACCCGTGTCCCCTGCAACGGCAGGCGGACTCCCAACCACTGCGCCACCAGGGAAGCCCCCAGTGGCATTCTTTATCAACTTGTGTGTTTCAGCTGCCTGAGGTATTCTAAGACTCTCAAACACCTGGGCTATTACTGCATCATTCATAACATTTATAATCAGGCTAAACTGGAACCCAAATCCACGAGGAGGATCAAGATCAAATTAACAGAATGATTTGCACAGCTGGAAGACTTTGAAGAAAAGGAATGATAACCCTATTGCTGGATTGACTAAATTAGCTCCCAGCTCACTTCCAGTCAGACTACTAAAGCATCTTGATAGAATTCAGCCTTTGCTGATGGAATTTGTAGCAATCTCCCTCTTTGTAAGGATGAATAGTTACAGACTCTGTTTTACACGACATACAGGCTCGTACTAGAGAACCCACCAAAGCCTTTTAAAGGCTCTGCACACCTAGAGAACTATAACTAGCAACCCTATATATTCTGCAGTCTTTCTCTGTCTAGGAAGATATTTTTTTAAAATTCTAAGTACCTTGCATACTCATTAAATCCTCAAAAAAACCTCAATGAGATAACAAATGAAGATACAATGGGCGTCAGTAATTTGACTAAGTTTGCATAGCTTTAAGGGGGTGTCAGGATTTGGACGCAGGCAATGTCTGTACCTGTTCTTAAAGAATTAGACCAGCAACATCTGTATCTTCTCAAAAATATTTAATTCTTCCCCCAAGAAGTGGGGAAGGCAATTTTTACAGATAACTTTTAGTAACGTGTTTACTAACTTGTCAGGGTGTAATAATGTGTCTAGCAATCATATTCTGAGCCAGCCTGGAGCCCCGGTTCTTTGCACTTTCCTTGACCCTAGTGGACCTTGCCTTACCCAACTGTGAAATCTCTAGGAGTACCTGACGAGTGGCGAATGAGGCGCTGAGTACGGGAAGCACGGAATTCTGTACCCCTCAAGACTCTCCCCAAACCACAGATGGATAGATCTGCGGGGTAATCAAATTGCATGCACCACACAAATTCGCAAGGGCAAGGTGCTGACACACACTTGCAGTTATTTAGAATTACCTTTTTACTGATTGTAAAGGCTTTGTGGGGTGGGTTAGTTGTGCTGCGTGAGTTCCAGCCCAGAGAGACAGTGTAATTAGTTGGGTCCTGGGCTGCAGGGCCAGAAGGGTCCCGCCCGTTACCTGTGGCCAGCGCGAAGGCCGGGACGCTGTGGAAGCGCACCAGGCCGCCACTGCGGCCGCCCTCGCACTCCACGAAGGCGGCCACCAGCCCGCAGGGGCAGTGGATGTTGACCAGGGCCTCGCGGGCGTCGGCGGGGGGCGCTGGCACCAGCCCGAAGTCGAGCGCGAACCGGCCCAGAGCCAGCACCGCGTGGCCGCACATGGAACTGTAGCCCTCGTTGTGCAGGAACAGGACGCCCAGGTGCGCGTCAGGCAGCTCGCTCGGCACCAGCACAGCCCCGTACATGTCCCGGTGCCCCCGGGGCTCGAACATGAGCCGTCGCCGCACGTGGTCGAGGTGCTGGCGCATGTAGCGCTGCTTGGCCAGCAGCGTGGGGCCGACCACCTCCGGACACCCAGCCAGCACGATGCGCAGGGGCTCGCCGCCCGTGTGCATGTCCACCACCGACAGAGCCGGCGTCCTCGGGTCGTGTGGAGGCAGCCGGGGCACAGCCGGCGGGCTCGCCATCGTCTGCGTCCAGATGGGGACTCGACCACCACACGGCCGCTCGCGCTTCCAGCCGCCTGTCCAACCGCCTCCTCCCCGCCAGAGGGCCAGGCCGCAGCGCCACCTGAAGGGCGGAGCCTTCGAGCCGAAACCCGGAAGCCCGAGGCGGGGCGGGGCTTCGGAGCGGTCGCCCGGGTTACCAGGAGGCGGAGCCGTCGAGGCGGCTTTGGCCCGGATTTCCGGGCGTTGTGGCCGGGTCGGCTGATCCACGAACCTCTCCAAGGAAACATATAAGCTGCCGATGGGTGAGTGATTGCCGAGGTCCCGGGAAGCATTTATCCTAGTCTCTGCTTCTTCCCTACGCTCCCAGCTCTGGGCTCGGCCACAGCGGGTGGCCTCCGGATAGCGGCGAATCCTTGTCCCTTGCTCCCAGCAGCTCTTAGCCGGGCCGAGGTAGGATAGGGGTAGTCTGCTCCAGACAAGCTGCAGCGAGGAGACCGGCTGCAGATGGGACGCCGGCTGCGTACTGGGGGAAAAGGCCAGGCCTTTGTTGTTTGTTCAAAATGTCACCTCAGCCCCTTTGTTTCGGTCCCTTTGTTTAACATTACTGAGAGTTGACTTGACAATTTAAAGCGCGAGCGTAAGTGCAGGAAAACAGGAAAGGAAGCAGAAGCTAATTGCTGCTTAACGGTTGTGTCCTGCTTCAGCATCAAACGTTAAGTTTGGGGGGCCTTTCACAAACGGGCATGACGGTTGCAAAAAAGCAAAAAATCTAGACCTCCTTTACTAAGGGAAATCAAAGGGGAAAGTGAGCGTACAGTGGGAGCTAGGGTTTTTTTGGTCGACGGTAAGCTGTTGCGTTCAGTTTAGCATACCGGTTTTCAGGCCTTGGATTTTGAGAAATTTTAGAATATTTACACTCAAATGTATTTATTATGCATCTGCTAGATGCAAAACCGGTATAGAAGGTTTCCAATTCTTTACCTTCTTCCTTCTCAAAAAATCTGAAACAACTCGTTTCCGTCTATTAGTGTAGAACATTGTGATTACAACTGGTTTAAAAATAAGTGCCAGGTAAGGTAAAGAAGCCCATGGGTTTTTTAAAAAGTCAGAAATTTGATAAAAGTGAAAATATTAAACTTGAGGCATTTTAGTCAGTGCCATTTCTGTTTTCCTCTTAAGCACAAGGAGAAAGAAAAAAGTCTACTTGAATTTGAAAGAAGAAAGAGTATTGTGGATCAGGCAGTCTCTAGATTGTGAATTCATGAAGAATTTGGGAAATGATTGTTCAAAAATAGCCATAAAATGCATAATTTCCCAAGTTAATTCACATTTGGCCACAGTTGTTTTGGATTTATTCCACACGAGGCTGTAGGTTCTTTGAGGGTAGGGACTCTGTCATGTTCCTCCGTGAATCTTTAGGGGCCCTTCACCAGTGGAATCAGACACTTAATGCATGTTTACTGAAGGAATGAATCAATGATTGAAGGGAATCAGATGTCACTGATGAAAAAAACTCGTTCGATAGTTTCTCCCTGTGGATGAGGTCAAAGACAGTCTGTAGGCCCTGAGTTTTTTGGTTAAAAAGAACTGCTTTTTATGTTGTCCAAGCCCTGAGATCAGAGGGTTGATTCTAATGCAGTGGTTCCTAAGTATTGGTCAGAGGCCCAGTGACAGCCTTGATGAAATCTTCACTTGTCCTCTACAAAAATGACCAAAGTTAGGATAATTTACAAGCTTCTTATAAGGTGAATCTATTTACTTTAAAGACCTTCCCTTTTTTCTGAACTTATGTCCTTTCTGCTTTTCTAGTATTAAAGAGTGTTCTGTCACGAAGGAAGGTGGTAATAGATTTCGTGTGTATGCTCGCACTTAATGTCCTGACTGGGCAAAATCAAAAGTATCCATCCTCTCTTAGTCCTCTAGTTAAAAAAAAAAAAAAAGGAAATTCAAAAGTCTAGACCATCTAATCAAGGGGAATGGCTGGTTGGAGCCACTGGAGACGTACCAGGTTAGGCTTTGAGTTGTGGGCATAAAGTCCGCCCTGCTGGTTGAGGACCTTAATCTTAAGGAACAGTATTAGCAATAAGGTTCCATGTAACCTTCAGTAGTGTCACAGTGTAAAAGGAAACCTTTAAATAAATGCATCAAGACTTTTGTCTAATACATTTTTTTAAATTGAAAGTGTGTTGAGATATTTCTGCCAAATGTTTCAGCTCTTATTACCTTATTTTTTATAATCACAAAAGATGTTACTATACTGGCATTTGTTTTTAAAAAGCTGTCGATATTCAACCAGCATGCCTTGGACTGTATTGTGGGAAGACCCTGTTATTTAAAAATGGCTCAACTGAAATATATGGAGAATGTGGGGTAAGTCTTAACATTTGTATGTTATTTCATTTGTAAAATCTTTTTGCTTCTGAAATCTTGTCACATGTAGAATAACTTTTTCTTCAGTGTATTCAACTTGTAAAAGAATATGGAGGCATTAATAAAATCCTGATTTGTGTTGTCATATTGATTATATATCTATAATACATCTTGACGGTCAGAGTTATTAAGTTTTTTAATTTGATAGTTTTATAATAATTTCTAATTACTTTTTATTAATATAGAAAAGTGATTTGGACAATAATTTAGCATTACAACTCCAGAGCATTTCTCTACAATTTTTATATGGTGTTAATAACTAGGTTTTTCATGTAATATTAGTCAACTATTTTAGTAACTTAATACAGAGTCCTTTAATAACCTTATACAGGTATAGCAAATGCAATGTAGATTGCTTTTTATTTTACTTATGCTTTCTCTTTTATTTTTAAAAGATGCACATGTAAACATGTTTAAACTGAAATGTGATGTCTTAGTGAATGATTTTTTTGGAGGTGTTAACATTCTAGGATAATATCTCTACATACAATACTGTTCTTATATATCATAGGTGTGTCCAAGAGGACAGAGAACAAATGCACAGAAGTATTGTCAGCCTTGCACAGAGTCTCCAGAACTTTATGATTGGCTCTATCTTGGATTTATGGCTATGCTTCCTCTTGTTTTACATTGGTTCTTCATTGAATGGTACTCAGGGAAAAAGAGGTTAGCACTTTCTATGAATGTGTCTGGGTCGACTGATGTTGGAATAGCTATCATTTAGAAGACCTTATCAAGTAATTATACTTCTCTTTTTGTAAGAGTGGCACACCTGTTTTTCCTTTATCTTCTGATTACTTTTGACTGTGGCAAGGAAACTTAATGCTAGCAGGGCATGCCTCAGTAAATATTAAGGGAAATATCCTTTGTCTGTTTTACTCTGAGTGATGCTGAGGGAGTATTTTAGTTATATTTTTATTTCTTAATTATCTTCATTGGTTTTCTACAAAGACTTGGCTATGATTACAAACTGTTTATTGTTCTAAAACAAATACTTTGCAACTTAGTACTAGTAATCTAGTATAATGTAGTTAAAATGTTATAGCTGCAACCTAATTATGAAAACTCATACTAAAACAAATCCAAAAACTTTACTGAGCGTTGTGTTTTATGTTGAAAAGATCAGGGAAGGAGATACAAAAATAACTGATGTGGTTTATAGTCATACTCTTGTAGAGAAGACAAATGTATACATAACTAATTATAATACAAATCAGTCTTAAAAGTATGTAAACAAAAAGTATATAAAACCTTTATAAACAAAATGCTCTGGAATCACAAAGAATGGAAGAGATAAATTGTGCCTGGTGGCACCCGAAACACTTCAAAAAAGGAAGATTTTTAGGCAGAAGCAACAGCATGAACACTGGCGGGGGGGTATGAAACGTGATCTCTTGTGAGTGGGAATGGAAGTAGTTGGGTGTTCAAAGTGTGGATTGCATATGAGAGAAAGGTAATAAAAAGGAAGGTGGGAAAGGGGGTTGAGGCCAGAATGTGAAAGTTCTTGGTGATGTTGTGAACCTCATCCCACTGGGAATGAGGAACCAGATTCTACTGTAGTACATTTCAGCCATCCTGGCTGTTGGTTCCTTTGACATCTCAGCATATTTCCTGCTTTAAGTCCTGTCCCTTTCCCCAAAGTCTTCTCTACCTGAAATACTCTCTTCTCCCTGCAACTTTTTACCTAGCTGCCTTTTCTTCCTTCAGATCTCAGGTTAAATTACACCTACTCGGAGAGGCCTCCCCTGACCCAATCTAATGTAGGTTTGTCCCCATTATTTTTCTTTTTTAATAGCACTCTCATTTTGTTGTTGTTTTTGCTTTGTATTTAGTAGTCAACACAATTTGTAGTTATGTTTGTCTCCTCATTTAATGTTATTTCCCACCCCTGACCATAGGCTCCATGAGGGCAGTGGCCATCGCTGTTGTTCTCTATGAAATCTCCAGAGACCAGCACAGCTGCTGGCACATGGTAGATACTCACTTAGTATTTGGTGAGTGAATGATTTATTGGTGAAGGTTTTGGTTTAGAGAAACAGCATCTTGGATGTATGTTTTAGGAAAATAACTTCTGTGGAGGGCAGATTAGTGGTGAGACATATTAGAAAGCTGTTGTCCAAGAAATAGTGATGGCCAGTGGTAGGAGCGGAAGTGAAGAGAAGGTCAGGTGGAAATAGAATCAGTACTCTTCTGGATCTACCTAATAAGTCCACAGTGATTATTTACATTGGAAGAGCATTCATTATTTTTTCAGAAGACTCTGTTAAAAAAAATTTTTTAAAGCAGCTTTCATCCCGCCTTTAATTTCTGTTATAGAATGATGAGAGATGAGGGCTAGAAAAGAGATGTGATTAACAGAGCTAAAATAGAATAATTGCTCATTTGGAACTTCTCAGCCCAGATTGGAGAAGAGGTGGGTTTAATGGATGTACCTCACCAAATGCATTTGAACTAAAACATCAGATATGTTTTGAGAGAGAATTTTAGAGCAGAGGGTAGAGCCTTGGTTTGGAGGTAAAGCAGAGGTGTGATCAGTGCTTAGGCAGGAAAGGAGGTGGGTTTAAAAAGGAGGTTGCATATCCATGCTTTGCCTAGGAAATTGGTAGCAAGGAAGACAAGGACTATCTCTTGCATTT